AACTAAAACATACTTTTATACAAAAACAGCTCATTAAATTTCTTCTGATATTATTATGCATCGAATTTTAAAGCAAACCATTATGAATATTTTTGCAATGAGATTATGGAATATTTAAATGTTGCTTTTTTTCTTCTGAAAATAAAATAAAGATCAGTAATAGTACTCAAATAAAACTTATGTTAAGCTAATAGCCAAAAGAGAAACTCGAAGTAACTAAGGGTTACTATGATAGTACAAAAAGGTCTCTAAAAGAAACTAACATTCAGATGAATATAGAGTTTTCATTTATTTTGTTTAAACTTTAAATACCATTCCTTTTTCTTTCACTACTGGGACTAGCTTAACTTAACCTATTTTTACAACTGGCATTAAATAAAGCTCTTAAAGTGTTAAAAACAGGACACTGCTGCTTTTGTTGGGAACGTGAAGTTTTATTGATCTGTAGGATTAATATGGATTGAATCCAAACCAAATTCAATATTTAACCTTCAGGTTCATTATACTTTAGATACCAAAAGAAAAATCGAAACACTATTTATAATTCTGTCAAATAGGATTATAAAGCAACGTAGTGTTCAGCTACAGGTTATTACAGAAAACCATGTAGCTAACGAGAACATTTCTAAAATATATAACCTTTTTTCCAGCTGATTTCCTGATACTTCTCCAATGACTAATTTAACTGTTTACTTAAATTTATTCCTATGTCTATCATGTTCACCACTATATCCTTCATGGCCAGTGCAGTGCCTGGCCCATAGAACACAATTCATATTTGCTGAGTGAATGTCCTATGATATAAAATTTTATTACAGCACTTATCATCTATATTTTAGTTTAGTTTGCCTTATCAGACTGTAACTTATTTATAAGTAAAGCCTATGAGTAATTTATATTTTTATGCCCTTTACCCAGCACAAATCTGTTATACAGCAGGTTCTTAATAAATTTTAAATTAACTTTTTTTAGTCTTCAGTTTCTTAAATTAACTAGTCTCATTATATAGTGCACTTTATAAAATGATTGAATAACTACACTTAGATGGACCTAATAATTTTCAACTTTGAAAAAAATGGAGAGTGTAGATCAAATATGAGGAAGAAAGAAAGCAGAGGATACCTAATTCTATGTCTAAAGCTGCACAAGTCTCAGGCTAACCCCCTGAGCTACACAGCTCAGATGAGATCCAAACCAACACAATAGAGGCTGAAAAAATTGAATTAAAACTTAAATCACTGGCACAAGTCCTAGGATTAAACCTTGAATAAATGTGTGTGGGAAAAAAACCCAAATCAAGTGGCAAAGGCTTAGAGAACTGAACTAAGATTTGAAAAACCTGTACAAATCTAAGACTAATTCCTTACGTGCATATACAGAAAGACCCAAAACAATGTAACATATGCTTAGAGAATGACTAAGATTTGATCCACTCTCTGCACAGACACTATTGACAAAACATGTGTTTTGACTTGAATTGGTCTGATTGCCTGCAAACACTAAACATGAGCATTATCCAGACAGTTATAACATTACGAGAATCCACATGACAAAGGATGTACAACATCTAATAGAAAACACAGTGAAATGAATCAGAAGATAGGAATTCTCATAGAAAAATAGAAACTATCTACACTAATAAAAGAGAAACATGGTAATTGGCGTACAACCGCTACCCTTCCCATTGGCTAATAAGGGAGATATGCAAATTAACTGACAGCCAAGATGGCGGCAGGCAGCCAGGCAGCCAGGCAGCTTGAAACTAACATGAGGCTTGCTTGCTTCAGTGAAGGAGGAAACCATGCCTTGCAGGCCTTGCAGGCCTCTGAGCCTGCAGTTTGAACACTGTAACAAACATAGACGGTAAACAAAACCCCAGAAACCAGCTTTCAGCGAGCTGGGATCTCAGAGCTGGAGTTATACATTGTTTCAAACCGAAACAAACCAGATACCTACTTTCAGCAGCGGAGGCCTAAGAGCTGGAGCCTCAGAGCTAAAGCTGGCCCAGAATAAAAAAAAAAAAAAGGAAAAAAGGAGAAGTTGGGAGCTTCCGTCACCCGCCAGCCTGAAAACAGCCCTCAGCCCCTCACCCAGGCTGGCCAGGCACCCCAGTGAGGACCCCCACCCTGAAGGGTGTGTGACCAACAGCAAACAGCCCTCAGCCCCTCACCCAGGCTGGCCAGGCACCCAGTGGGGACCCCCACCCTGAAGGGTGTGTGACCAGCTGCAAACAGCCATCATCCCCTCACCCAGGCTGGCCAGGCACCCCAGTGGGGACCCCCACCCTGATCCAGGACACCCTTCAGAGCAAACCAGCCAGCCCCACTCATGCACCAGGCCTCTATCCTATATAGTAAAAGGGTAATATGCCTCCCGGCACCGGGATCAGCATGACAGGGGGCAGCGCCCAAACCCCGATCGCCCTGCGGCTCTGTGTGTGACAGGGGGTGGGGCCACAACCTCCCTATCCGCCCTGCTCTGTTAGTGACAGGGGAAGGCGCCCCAACCTCTTGATCAGCCCTGCTCTGTGCCTGATATGGGGGAGCTCCCCAACCTCTGATTGCCCTGCGGCTCTGTGTGTGACAGGGTGCGCCACCCCAACCCCCTGATCGGCCCTGCTCTGTGTGACAGGGTGCGGCGCCCCAACCCCCCCCCCCCCCCACCGCCCCAATGGGCCCTGCTCTGCGTGTGACAGTGTAGAGCCATAACCTCCCCATCGGCCCTGCCCTGAGTGTGAGAGTGGCAGCGCCCCAACCCCCTGATCGGCCCTGCTGTGTGTGTGACAGGGTGTGGCGCCACAACCCCCCCCCCCCCCACGGGCTCTGCTCTGTGTGTGATGGGGTAGAGCCATAACCTCCCCATCGGCCCTGCCCTGAGTGTGACAGTGGCGGCGTCCTAACCCCCTGATCGGCCCTGCTCTGTGGGTGATAGAGGGCGGCGCCCCAACCCCCTGATCCGCCCTGCTCTGTGTGTGACAGGGGGCGATGCCCCAACTCCCCTATCGGCCCTACTCTCTGAGTGACAGGGGGGAGCTCCCCAACCCCCTGATGGGCCCTGCTCTGTGCATGACAGGGGGGAACTCCCCAACCCCCTGATCGACCCTACTCTGTGCGTGACAGGTTAAGGAGCCCCAACCCCCTGATGGGCCCTGCTCTGTGTGTGATAGGGGGCAGCGCCCCAACCCCCGGATTGGCCCTGCTCTGTGCGTGACAGGGGGTGTCGCCACAACCTCCCCATCGACCCTGCCTTGAGTGTGACAGGGGGCGGTGCCCCAACCCCCCAATCGGCCCTACCCTGAGCGTGACTGGGGGTGGCATTGTAACCTCCAGATCCGCCCTGCTCTGTGCATGACAGGGGGCGGTGCCCCAACTCCCCAATCGGCCCTGCTCTGAGCCCGACCAGGGTCTGCACCTAGGGATTGGGCCTGCCCTCTGCCACCCGGAAGCAGGCCTAAGCCAGCAGGGCGTTATCTCCCGAGGGGTCTCAGACTGCGAGAGGGCACAGGCCGGGCTGAGGGACACCCCCCCCCACCCCCCCGAGTGCACAAATTTTTGTGCACCAGGCCTCTAGTTAAATAATAAATAAATAAATAAATAAATAAATAAATAAATAAATAAATAAAAGGTATGTGCAGATAATCTACTTGTCGACTGGCATTCATATAACTGAGACAGTGAAAGACTCTTACTCTGAAAAACCAAAGGGAATTTCTGGTTTAAAAAATTGGTAATTACCTTCAAACACAAGCAAGATCTAGAATGCTACTCAAAGAAAACAGTTTTTAAAATATATATATTTTTTGCTGTATAAGTCTTCCTTAATAATTAAAATAGAAATTAGGAGAGAAAAAAAACCTTAACCTTGAAACATAGTTATATAAACCAATTGAACTATGACTAGTGTTTTTATTTCTGCAAAGCCATTATAACCAAATATGTCAGTTGATTTGCGAACAAAACTATTTTGCTTCAGAATATGAATATGCCACCTTTTTGTACTTATAGTTTCACTACCTTATTATCATCATGCCAGGGTATCTCTAGATCTTTTAAATGTTAATTTCAATAAATTTATCCTTTCTCTGTGGGTGTCATTCAACTATAAGAAAAAACAAACAAACAACAAGCATAGGAAATTGAAAATGAAGACTCATAGACAATGGTAATAAATAACTGCAGCACAGCTTGACATGTGCTTGAAAAAGATCAGATATGTTAGAAGACCTGACCACAGAATAAATTCCTCTTTTGTTCCACATATATATCTTGTCAGGGGCAAAAGGAACAGCTGAGGGGAAAAAGCATTAAAATCAAATATCTCGAAGAGCTGGGTTAATCTGCAAAGGCAAGGTCACAATTAAATAAAGTTTCACTGAATTATACAACAGTCAGAAAAAACTTAGTTATAAAGCCCTTAGATTGAGAGAAGGGAAAATGAGTGGTAAATAAGAACAATACTGATGATGATGGAAAAAAAAAACCAAAACAAAACCAGAATGAAAGGAAAACACATGCGTACAGTAAATTTCTTAAACAGCTTGATCATACTTGTAATTTGTTGAAAATCCTCCATAATTACTTTGAAGTACATAGGAAAATAAGACATGTAACTTTACTGTGCATCTTAAATATTCCTAACCATCAGAATACAGTTTCAGAATGATCGGTTCATCTCTTTGTGCATTGCACAAAAAGGGAAAAAAAAAATTCACAGCATTTGTAAATCGAATCATTTAAAAATCTGTTTTAAGTCATAATTTGCTTGTTTATCCAACACATATAAAGGTAGATGCAGCTCGTTTTAAGAACAATGCTCATTTGAAGAAAGATTATTGGAAAAAAATAAATAAATTACTTTCTCATGTATTTTGGTGCAATGAGTATTTCTTTAAAGAGAACGTATTGTGTATGTGTGTGTAACAGGATGGCAGCCAATGAAATAAGATCAGACTAGACCTTATGAGAAAGAAGGAAATTAAAAATTATCATTATCACTATCACCTGCAGGGAGTAATTTATCATTTCTGTTCTTCATTGGTATCATGTTCCAACAGCGTGTGGTTACAGCAGATACAATTAGGCAGCTGTCCACAGAAGTAGGAGGATAATGTGCTTTTGATGGAGTTTATCCAAGCATGGAGACAGAGTGCTTGTAATCCATGCAGCAGAATCACTATAACAAAAATACAATTCATTTTTTGTGGAAGTATTTCTTTCAGAATCTTAAAATGGAATTAAAAAGCCAACTGCTAGGTCTAAAGCAAGTAAAGAAAGAGTAAGAAGATAATGCATAAAAATGATTATTATAGCTTATATCTCTGTATATAAACCAACCAAATGAAACTACAAACAAAAGACATACAACCTATTGCAAAAAAACATGAATTCTGCTAGTGATGACTGGCATTAAAACTAAGAAAGCATAATCAACAAATATGAAAATTATATAGTAGAATTTTCTCCCAATATTAATTATACCTTAAATTATGAACTCTTTCTTCTTCAATTAATTTTCTATTTTATCCCAAGAGAAAATTTGCATCTTTTCTTTCTTTCATAATTCCTCTAGGGAACAATACACATTAAGTGCCATATACTTCTCAAGGGATATTGCCAAATTGAGTACTTTAGAAACAGACCTAGCAATATGGGAAGTAGCAAAACAGACAATAGGTCTAAAATTTCTTAAAGGTACTTTTACTGAAAAACTCAATGTAATTAATTTTTATCTATTTGAAATATTTCCAGATTATAAATAAATTTTAACATTTATTTGGATCACTCCCTTGTAATTTCAAAATTGCTTATTATAGTGATTTTAGGAAGCAGAAGGAATCACCTCTTTAGAGCCTAAAGCAGTACTTTAATCCTGACATTTCATAAATTGATACCTTACATGCCCTAACTACTCTACATTTCTTCCTAGCTATAAGCACAAGATATTGTTTTATACATTTTATATTCATTGATATTTACCAATATTTTCTCTTTTAAATATAGCTGTGAAACCAACACCCAGATCAAGAAATAGAATCTTCAGCACCCTAGTAATCCCCCTTATGTACTTAGCTAATCCTAGGTACCTTAACCCCTGCAAGGCATCTACTATCCTGATTTTTTCTTTCAGCTTTACTGAGATATAATAGGCAACATTGTGTAAATTTAAGGTGTGTAATGTGTTGATCTGATACACTTACATATTGCAAAGTGATTATTATCACAGTGTTAGCTGACACCACCATCAGAATCAGACAATGATCAATTTTTTTGGAAGTGAGAACATTTAAGATCCATTCTCTTAGCAACTTTTAAGTATATAATATAGTATTATTAACTATAATCACAGTATAAACTAAATCCCCAGAACTTATTCAACTTATAACTTGAAGTTTGTACCCTTTGATCAATGTCTCCTCATTTCCCTCAGCCACTGGTAACTACCTTTCTACTCTCGGTTTCTGTAAGTTTGGCTTTTGTAAAAGATTCCACAAATAAATGATATCATATGGTATTTGTCTTTCTTTGTCTGACTTATTTCATTCAGCATAATACCTTCAAAGTCCATCCTAGTTGTCACAAAAGCAGGATTTCCTTCTTTTTATGGCTGAATATTCCATTCCATCTATATGCCACATCTTTATCCACTCATCTGTTTGACACTTAGGTTGTCTCCACATCGTGGCTACAATGAACATGGGAGTGAAGACATCTCTTCAAGATCTTATTTTAATTTCCTTTGGATATATACCCAGAGTGGGACTGCAGGATCATATGGTAATTCTATCTTTAATTTTTTGAGGAACCTCCATACTCTTTTCCATAGTGGTTGCACCAGTTTACATTCCCAAAACAATGCACAAGGGTTCTCTTTTCTCCACATTCTCACCAACACTTATGTTATCTCACTACTATCCTGACTTCTAAGAGCACAGATTAATTTTCGCTACTGTATGCTTCAACTGAACAGTTATTTTCACTGTTTAGGTAGAATACCCAGGCATCTGCTTAGGCAGTGAGGATATGGAGGTGACCACAGACATGATGAGACTGCCCTGAAGAGCCTATAGGAATCCACAGCTGAACACAAGACACTGAACGAAAAACATTATGAGTATGGTGGGTGGTATTATAGGGAGTGCAGCAACATTTAATAGATGTATTAGAATCTACTCTGTGGGATTAGAGAAGGCTGCCTAGGGGAAGTAACATTTAAGCTGACATATAACAACTAAGAGGGAAATAGTTTAGAGAATGGGGAAGTGTTATAGACAGAAGACCTTAGGGAGGAAAAAAACAGCACAGTGAAGAATTTGGCTCCTGTAGTGGTGGACTACATAAAATATAGTGACCCTTTTGCTGAGAGCATCTATAAGAACTAAAAAAATATAAAATACTATGTGCTTGAAGGCATCAGAGAGATAAATTAAAACATTACCAAGGTAAGACTCAGCAAAGAAAGAAATAAAAAAGAAAAAAATGAGACACATTTGGGACTGCTTTTGCCTTACAGGCATTTGCCAGTTCAGAGGAAGCAGCTAAAAGACTACCTGTGCAACCCTTTTGACAGCATCACATGGGTAGGAATACAAAAATGGGGCCCTCATATTCTCAGTTTGGCCCATCCCATATCCATGGGGTTGGATGCTGAATAAAAGAATGAGGGTGAGAAGAGAAAAGAAAAATCAGACTGCACACTATGGTGCAGACTTTGAGGAGAGGCAGGACATATCAGTTGTTAAAGAAAAGAGCATTCTGTAATAGTTATGTCATTGTCATAGTGATCTACAAATTAAAAATGTGACTCTGCAAAACTGTAGGCAGAAAGTGATTTTGCTTTGAGAAACAGCTGATTTGCATAAATGCAGCATTCTGAAAGAAGATCTCATTTCTCCACTACATTAGGATATTCAAGTATACGAATAGGTCAAAGAGTTTTCACTGCATACCTTTGCCTATAAAAAAAACTAGTCAGTTCAATCCTGATGGAGTAAGTAAATTCATCTATGAAATCACACAATACTAAATCCTCAAAAGCAAATGCATGTTAAAAATAAACTTGAACAAACAATTCTTTCTTTAAGGCAAGACAGGAAAGCGAATGGTACATTAATTAGATCATTTTATGAGCATTTTGTATGTGCCAGGTATAGTGGTAAATGCTTTTACATATTATCTCATTTAGCACTCAAAATAATACCAAGGAAGTAGGTACTGGTGTCATATCTCCACTTTTCACATAAAAAATTTGAAGTCCTGAGAAATCAAACACCTCTTCTAAAGTCATATTGGTAAACTGGGCCCATCAGAGCTAAAGCTTTTAATCACAGTGCTATATTATCACTGTTTAAACTCTCCTCTTTGATTTTAATCACTTTCAGAAAACTCCCTTATATTTCTAAATTAGTCCTTTTCTTATTCAGTCTTCTAGAAAAGCAAAAAATTGACTGGTTTTGGTAAATATTAAGTTATGAGACAACTGGTATATATAATAAAGTTTATTTTTCCAATTACTGACTCACTTTCCCATGAGGACTAGTCCTTCCTGTGAATACACACACACGCACACACACACACACACATATATATATCTCAGACATCTGGAAACATAGGTACTTTAGGATTTTTAGAAAATCTGGATGGCAATATTTACAAAGGTTTGTACCAGAGCATTAAATCAAAGGAAATCTGAACTAGGAAGATTACTTCCTTATAGGTCATTACACTAGGGAAAGTGCCTGAATCAAAGAGGAAAATACCTGGTCAAACTCATTTATTATCACAACCTAATAATTCTAATTGACAGTCTCTGAGATAAGTCTAGGGGGAACTCCCCTGTCATCTCTAATCAAGAGTCCACTCTTATTGATTATTTGATAAATAAACCATTCTTATGCTTATTGCTATGCTTGAGATAAGTATTTCAGTCCTGTTTGAGTGTGATTATTTCTCTCCTAAATATTTTGACCCTTGACATTCTGATTTCAAGTATAACCCTATACATATCTATAATTAAAGTATGATTATAATGTAGCTTAAGAATTTCAACATTCCACTAAGATTTTATTTTAGAACAATTTGATATTCAAGTCCTTTTTAAATATAACTCAATCAGTGTTAATCAATGTTAATGAATTTTTTAAAACGCAGATTCAAAGGGGCTATAAGCTTGGCTTTCAAAAGAAGATTAAGCATGATTAGCTTATGTTTTAATTTTAAAACACAAAAAGGCCATCAAGAGTGTTAATATTGGTAAGGGTGTGAAGGAAATAATGATCACAGACCACTGAAGAGATAGGAAAACTGTTGTTAATTTGGATAAAGAAAAAGCAATTAGCCAGTGACAGCATTTTGGAGGCAGAGATATATGAACAAAGATGCTGCATTCTGACCTAAAAGACACCCTTGGATCTATAGAGTCAATGCACTCCCCATTAAAATACCAATGGCATATTTCACAGACCTAGAACAAACTCTCCAAAAATTCATCTGGAATAAAAAAAGACCCCGAATAGCTGCAGTCAGTGGTTCTCAACCTTCCTAATGCCACGACCCTTTAATACAGTTCCTCATGTTGTGGTGACCCCCAACCATAAAATTATTTTCGTTGCTACTTCATAACTGTAATTTTGCTACTGTTATGAATCATAATGTAAATATCTGATATGCAGGATGTATTTAGGTGACCCCTGTGAAAGGGTCGTTCGACCCCCAAAGGGGTCGTGACCCACGGGTTGAGAACCACTGACTGCAGCATCCTGAGAAAGAAGAACAAAGTAGAAGGGATCTCAATACCAGATACCAAGCTGTATTACAAAGCCACTGTTCTCAAAACTGCCTGGTACTGGCACAAGAACAGACATATAGACCAATGGAATAGAATAGAGAACCCAGAAATCGGCCCAAGCCATTATGCTCAATTAATATTTGATAAAGAAGGCAAGAACATACAATGGAGTCAAGACAGTCTCTTCAATAATTGGTGTTGGGAAAACTGGGCAGATACATGCAAAAAAATGAAACTAGACCAACTTATACCATACACAAAAATAAACTCAAAATGGATAAAGGACTTAAACATAAGAGAGGAAACCATAAAAATATTAGAGGAATCCACAGGCAGCAAAACCTCAGACATATGTTGTAGCAATATATTTACTGATACAGCTCCTAGGGCAATGGAAACTAAAGAGAAAATAAAGAAATGGGACTACATCAAAATAAAAAGCTTTTGCACAGCAAAAGAAACCATCAACAAAACAAGAAAGCCCACTGCACGGGAGAACATATTTGCCAATGTTATCACTGATAAAGGTTTAATCTCCAATATTTACAGGGAACTCATACAACTTAACAAAAGGAAGATAAACAACCCAATCAAAAAATGGGCAACGACCTAAATAGATACTTTTCGAAAGAGGACATAAGGAGAGCCAAGACATATGAAAACATGCTCAAAGTCACTAATCATCCGAGAGATGCATATCAAAACGACAATGAGGTACCATCTCACACCCGTAAGAATGGCTATCATCCACAAATCAACAAACGACAAGTGCTGGTGAGGATACAGAGAAAAAAGAATCCTCGTGCACTGCTGGTGGGAATGCAGACTGGTGCAGGCACTGTAAAGAACAGTATGGAGTTTCCTCAAAAAACTAAAAATGGAACTCCCATTTGACCAAGTGATCCCACTTCTAGAAATATATCCCAAGAAAGTAGAAACACCAATCAGAAAGGATATATGCACCCCTATGTTCATAGCAGCAGTTTACCATAGCTAAGATTTGAAAACAGCCTAAGCGCCCATCAGCAGATGAGTGGATTAAAAAACTGTGGTACATCTACACAATGGAATACTATGCTGACGTAAAACAGAAGCAACAGCATGGATGGAACTGGAGAGCATTATGCTAAGCTAAATAAGCCAGTCAGAGAAAGATAAATATCACATGATCTCACTCATTTGTGGAATATAATGATGAACATAAATTGATGAACAAAAACAGATCCAGAGACAAAGCAGCATCAATCATATAGTCAAACCTCAGAGGGAATGTAAGGGAGGGTCGGGATAAGGGGGAGAGATCAACCAAAGGACTTGTATGCATGCATATAAGCCTAACCAATGGACACAGACACCAGGGGGGTGAGGGCATGAGTGGGGGGAGTGGGGGAGCAATGGGGGGATAAGGACACATATGTAATACCTTAATCAATAAAGAAAAAAATTTAAAAAAAAGACATCCCTGGAATGAGGCTAGTAGGTGGTTTGATAAAATTTTAGAAAAGTGATTATTTATAGATTGAACAGTACATAAAGATAGCTGATATCCACTTCACGTACCCCTAAACGGGCCCATGTTCGCTAAATAAAATGGAGGGTACAATCATCTGCACTATTTAAATCATTATTTCTTTCACAGACTCTTTTTTTAGACATGAATAGTTAATTTAGTTTAAGTTATAATTATTACATGATGCTATTCCATTGGATTTGCTCTTTATTTTAATTTTAAAAAATCATTTGTACTTTTCAATTAGAGTTGACATACATTATTATATTAGTTTCAGGTATGCATGCCAGTGCTTAGACGTTACATAACTTACCAAGTGATCTGCTGTTAAATCTTATACCCATCTGACACCTTACATAGTTATTAGAATACTAAAGCCGGTGCAGGA